GACTCGACGGCACATAACAACAACAACAACAACATGGGAAATTTTACTATAAACACACAGAAAAATCACACCCACTGCCGTCAAGTCGTTCCCGACTCATGACGACCCCTCCTTGTTTTTCCTCAAGTTAGTGATAGTGAAGACTTTTATAGTTCTGGAATTGGTAAACTACAGCCCATGGGCCCAATCTGGCCTTGGCCTATTTTTTTAAGTAAATTTTGATTGAAACATAGTCATGCTCTTTCATTTACATATTGACTATGGCTATTTTTGTGCTGCAGCAACAGACTTGAGTTTCAACAGGAGCCATACGGCCCCTAAAGACTAAAATATTTACTGTCTGGCTCTTTAGAGAAAGAAGTTTGCTGACCCTTGTTATAGTTTTTCAGACAGAATTCCTTTTGGGAAAGTAAAATCCATATTGTAACTGTCAGTGTCACATGGAATATCCGTGAGATGACCCCTGTGAACTTGGAAAACATGAAGTCCTCTGATAGTTAAATGATAAATCAAATAGATACGGAAAAGGAGGTAGGCATCATCTTTTTAAAGAAACAAATGGCTGCCTTTTATGCAGATCTTGACTAACCCTAACCTCTGCCTTATCTGAGAAAGGATTCTGTCACACAGAAGGGGAGATGCAGTTGTAAATGGAGCATAGGCTAAGGAGTGTCAGAGAGTCAAACATTGTTAGGGTGTATCATATGGTTAGGAATGCATTTGGTGTAAGGGAAAGAAATGTATCTACAGGGTTAAATAACCTGAGATTTATTTTAAGTGTCTAAGAGGAAATTGGAGGTAGGCAGTTGCTGGCATTATTTCAGCTTCTTGTGATGGCAAGTTGATATCCCTGTAGTTTCTCTTGAGTTGTCTTCTGGTTACATAGTACTGTTCTGACAGGAATATACCACAAATGGGATGATTTTAACAGTTTATTCTCTTACAGTTTGGAGGCTTTAAGTGTGAGTTCAAACTGCCAGGCTCTAGGGGCTGGGTGAAAGCCTCTCAACCTTGGGCTTCCGCTCTGCCTCCTGCTCCTGGCCCACTGAAGCTAGAGGTTTTTCTTCACTCAGATAGCTGCTGGCTGCTGAGGCTGACAAGCCCAAGGTTGCCAAATAAAAAGGCATGGTCCCAATGTTACCAAACCACATGGCAGGCTATGAATTCAATTCCATTGAAAGTCCCAAGGTTGGCAGAGCATGGCAGGCTGCTAAACAACGACATGGCTACATATGGGATTCAAGCATGCCATAAGCTAGAGACCATTCCCAAGGCTTCTCCTTATATACAGGAAGCAGACCACATCCCTAAAGCAACTTCTCAGCTGCTCACAATAGATTCCACCATGGAGTTGATTACCAGTCTCATCATGGGGGATAATACATTCAGCTGCTCAGCCATTTAACCAGGCCCAGCCAAGTTGACACACAAACTTAACCACCACAGTTCTACCCCTTGTCATCTTGGCATCTGTACAGATATTCAATGGGTGGCATCTGTACAGATCTCCTTCACTGGGTGGCTCTGGTCCTGAGTGGTAACCTCACTGCCTTGGCCTGGGGCCCTGTTCCTCTCCCTCTTAGGCATGGCAGCCCTGCCCCTTCACTCTTAGGCAGTGGCTATAACTCCATCCTACTGGTTCACATGAACGAGCAGCCCCACACTCCAGAACTAAGTTGGTGAAGGTCTGGCTCTTTGAAACTTAGGGGGCTGTGGTGGTTCCACCCTCAAGGCCATGGTCCTACCCTTTGAGGCTGAGGCAGCTCTGCTTCTCATTTCCTTGATCTCTCCGCTTCTGCCAATTAATGCTAAAGGCAACCCACTCCACAGGAAATCTTCCTGTCCAAAAAGCACTCAGCTTTATTGCTCCATGGACTGGCCAACCTGCTACTCCTTTTCATGCCGGTCTTTTCTACCAATTAATGCCCGAAGGCAACCCAGTCGGCCAGGAAGCCATCTACCCAGTGGCACCCAGGTTTCTCTTCCATGGGCTGGTAAGGCTGTCTCTGTTTAATGCTGGTCTCTGGGCTCTGCTACTGCTGTCTTTCATGCTGGTCTCTCTCTGACAGTCTCTTGACTCTGCTGCTGCCGTCTCTCATGTTGCATGCTGAGGTCTCTCTGCTGGTGTCTTGGGTCAAAGATGCACCCCATGCCTGTTTCCACATTTTAGGTATCTGTCAGAGCAGCACCCCACTCTCTCGGTACCATATTCTGTTCTGGTTACCTAGTACTGCTCTGACAAGAATATACCACAAATGGGATGGCTTGAACAAACAGGAGTTTATGCTCTTAGAGTTTGGAGACTTTAAGTCCGAGTTCAAAGTGCCAGGCTCTAGGAGCTTGGGTGAAAGCCCCTCAACCTTGGGCTTTAGCGCTGCCTCCTGCTCCTGACCCACTGGAGTTAGAGGTGTTTCTTCACTCAGACAGCTGCTGGCTGCTGAGGCTGACAAGCCCCAGGTTGACAAATAAAAAGGCACAGTCCCAATGTTACCAAACCACACGACAGGCCATTAATTCAAGTCCCAAGGTCAGCAGAACATGGCAAACTGCTGAACAACGACACAGCTACATGCAGCGTTCAAGTGTGCCATAAGCTGGAGACCATTTCTAAGGCTTCTCCTTATATACAGGAAGCAGACCACATCCCTACAGCAGCTCACAGTAGATTCCACCATGGAGTTGATTACCAGTCTCATCATGGAGAATACTACATCCAGCTGCCCAGCCATTCAACCAGGCCCAGCCAAGTTGACACACAAACTTAACTACCACAGGTGGCTACTACAGCATCAGCCATCATAGCTGCATTGAAGACAAGAAGTGATGAAGGGGGAAGGGCAGGTGCCTTCCTCCTCTTATTAGTTAGTAACAACTTTCCCAGAAACCCAGTAGACTGTACCTTAGACCTTACTGACTATAACTATGACTTAACATAGTTACCAGCTGCAAGAGATTCTAGGAAAGCCAGGAATAGGAATGATTGTCCCTCAAACTTCCCTGATGATGATT